CTGTCTGCAGCTTGGTTACCTTTGGAGTACCTCAAAATCTATTTTAATTTTAAATTGTTTAAATATAATTAAAAAACAACATCAATTATTTTATTATATTAATATTACAACCTTAAAACACTCACAGTAAATATAAACTGTGAATTTTTATTGCAGGTTCGATTTTAATATAAGCCTGTTATAGTAATAATAGTAATTCTACCACTTAAAAAGTTTATTTTAGAAATCTAATTTTATTTACTTACCATAAATAGATTATTAGGAATTTGGAGGGAAAGTAATATTTAAGCAAAGAAATTTTATAACCCATCGAAATTAAGATGATTGAAGATGATAGTAACGAAGTGTATGAATTAATGAATTATGATAAATCCGAAAGCGTTGATAGGTTAAATAAATTAGGTTATTCCAATCCTGCCCATGGCAAAGCCGTTTTTAAATATTTAAAAACGAATAATAAAACTTACTTCATTGATAACTTTGTTAGAATCTAATTAATTGTTATTATTCATAAATTAAGGGTTAAAATATTTTAAAATAAAATGAAAAATACAATAATTTTGTAATAAAATGAGAACTGTATTAGAAAAACCATTTCTAATTTTTAATATTCTATTCTTTAAATATTTATAAATAATGTTGTATCACTAATTATCAGCTTTACTAATAAATTTATTCATACTTGAAATGTTATTGGTAGATTCATTATCTCTGTTCATCATTATTTGATGGGTATTAATTTTTATTTTAATTTATAATACAGAGATCTAATAGAAACAGTTATGAATGAATTAGATGAAAGGCTTAAACCTTTTATGTTATAACTTTATCACAATAAATAAGTTAAATACTTTATTATATTGTTATGTAACATGATAATTACTTCACAGTTAATAAAAAAAGTTATTTATTATTGTAGGTTCGATTTTGATCTAAGTCATTTTTTTATTTTATAGTTTGAAAAATAAGACTTATTTAATCGAAATCTTGTAATAAAAAGAGCAATATACTACTTCTTTCTCTTTTCTTATCTTCTTTATTTCTAAACTTAATTTCTTTTCTTAACATATATTTTATTTACCTTTTTTAGTGTAATTAAAACATATCTTATATATTTGATAAATGACATCATATAATTTATTATT